AATATGCATTTTTTAAATTCTTTAACTAAACAATATTTATCATTACACCTATTGTAAAGCATTCTTCCAAGAGATATTGTTCTATTAGGTATGATTTTAAACTAATTACAGTTTTTGCAAAAACCTATGACATCATAGGAGGGTGGAATTACCTTAATTTAAATGAATGCCAGAGAAATATACTCAAGGTCACAGAAATTTGAACTTCAATCTGATCATAAAAATACGTATCAAACCCTGTCCAGTCTTTTCATTGGATATTTTGTTTTTCATTTTGTTAATACCAAACTATATTTTCACACAATCAATTACAGTATTTTGTTCTTTAAAACCTACCTCTTTAACAAATGAACCATAATTGTTACACATTATTTAACTGTTTTAATCAAAATGCATTGATTTTTCATTGTTCATAGTGAAATTTATCAACGATTTTCTCTATAACAATCTATAATCGTCTACTCATTTAACGTTGGGTCAAGATCTTATTGCAGCCCAGAGGACCGGGCTGCTCTATACATACAAGTTTAAGTGTTGGTATATGGGGATTGAGGTGGGAGAAGCTATTCAGAATTAAAGGTTTTCTAAATATTAAAAAGATTGTTTATCAGAATGTTCTTTCCCTTTTTAAATTACGAGATACACAATATAATTACTCCATAAAGTGAATCTATAAAAATAAATAAGTTTCTCATATTTAATACATAAAGTTGCGTATCATTTACTATCGAAAAAACAACAGGTCCCTTTCTCGAGAACATCGAATTCTACTTATCGCACAAAAACGTACTTTACACAGTTTGTGTTTTATATTCTTAAAGTGAAAAACATTTTTGAAAATAGGTGATGCATGTATCTGGTTTCAGTTTATATTTTATGCAGCCAACATTTTCTTAAGGAATTAATAAAGTTGAAAATGGTATCGTTTTTGTTTGATTTTCATCCGACTATAAGTTTTCAACATATTCTTGACTGTCGTTTCCATCATTTAGACGCATGCCTTTTTCACACGCGGTTTGATGAACAAGACGCATTTCCATTTTTTACTTTATTTATTTCCCGGGCGACAATTGGTGGTTACATCAATGTTTTCTTGTTGTTTTCATATATAGCTTTATTTTATTGTTATGGATTATAAGCCGAAAGCTTACAGTATATCATCTTTGCTTGCCAAGAGTTATGATAGGCTACTCTCCTCATAAGTCCTTGGCATACGCTGTTCAGAAGTTTGGATTTTCTTCTTAATTTGTAATTGGAATTAATTAAGCATTGAATTATCATTTTTTGTAAGAAGCAGTTTCATTATTATAATGATGTGTTCAAACAAACCAAGTAACACGAGTTATCCCGTTATGAATTTTTTTTTGCATACATCATGCAGCAATTCAATGCTTTTACTTACATTTGTAAGCCCCTGTATTTTTCTCAATTTTGATTTTTTTTTAAATTTCCACTTTATCCTTCATGTAAGTTGCAATTGATAGAACAGCTTTAATTTGGAACAGCTTATTCCAAACTTCCTGCCAGAGTGCGGTTGCTCACAAACCAAAATCCGCAAACGAAAATAGTGCACAATAAAACAGATAGCAACAATAAAAAATTTATTTATTTTTGAATCCAAAATGATTAACTATATTTTTGAAACAATGAAATACAAATGAAAATTATTAAAGACATATTTCTTTCCCTTTGTTTAAACTGTAATGGGGTAGTTCCTGTATTCGTACGCCAGGCAGACTTTATCACTTGTAATTTTATAATGCATTCTATTAGGGTCAAACAAATTAAATGTTAATATTGGACCATGTTCGACCAATCATCAATTGTTTTTTGTATATGACGATATCTGCGTTAGGGATATATCTTGACTCTTTAATTTTGGGAACAAAAAATAGCCATAAGCAAAGATTCGTAAGATAACGTGCCATTAATATGAATAAATATGGTGTCATTCAATATCTTCAAAATATGTGATTAAGAACCTGTATTAGATTTAGATTTGTGTTTTTAGTCATAAATAAACATAACTCAATTATTTCTTCTTAATTTAAAAAAAAAAGATTTATTTTTTTTAAATGCTCTGCTTTATTTCTGTCGATGACGCAATATGTGCATATCTGGTAGATACACATCACTCGATAAAAACAATCCCGTCTTAAGTTTACACCGTATGCCAAGGATTCATGAGGAGAGTAGCACGGACATGGTCGACGTTGTTGTGTGGCATGCTTAAATCTCATCTTTCTTTGATAATTGATTATCCATTTTTTTTTTTTCATTTTTTTACTGAATGATTTTTTCTTTGTAGCTTGATCATGAAGATTGCCTTGATGTTATTAGTCGTTGCATCTTGTACTGTAAGATTATCTGTTGGTGATCCAACAAAGGATATGATGAACAAGGGTATAGAACCTGGACATAAAATAGCACAGTTATTGGAAGATCCAAAAATTAAAGAATTTTTGGCATCTTCGGGAAGAACTGCTGGAGAACACGATCGGGATGATATAATTTTCAAGCTGATACAGCATATCGGGGAATAGATGAAGATCTGCGTTACAATTACATGGGACGAGTAAAAAATGAAACTTCAAGGTTGTTAGCGAAGATATATGGAAGATCAAATAAAGACATTGCTGACGCATATTATACAAATTTCTCTCGCAGAAATATGAATGGCGTGAATGGGTAGTCGTTGTGTTTAACGACGTTGAGAACAAAAAGATTGAATTGGCTACAAATGCCTTCCAAATAACACTTCATGGGAAACACGTCATTGTCGCAAGCTCCTCTAAGGACAGAGAAACAGATATAGATTACGTAACAGGTATGCTATTAAAAATACGCTATCGGGAGATTGGAGACGTACAATGGCGTGATATCATTGACCTGTACTATAGGATACCAAAACGTATAAGAGATCCTGACTCGGACTATACTGTAGGCGTGGTGACGTCACATGGATCTGATCTTGTCGTCAGAGGCCCCAGCGATAGATACGCCCTAGTTTATAAGGCAAGAGAGGGATTTTTTCCATGGAACAGATACTCAAAACCTTGGATGTTCGCTTTATTCACAGACAAAGAATTTAGACTCACTCCGAAAAGAGATGATATACCTGATCCAAAAGCAGATGCAATCGAGGCTCATGAAGGATATGAGCAAGCTCACAATGATAATTGACAAAAACCACCCGGACTCCTCCGGAAATAAAGCAAACATAAAATTTTTAAAAAGTAAAATCACCATTCTAGTTATTTCATTGACCATCTAAGAACAAATATTGTTGGCAAGCAAATGTTTCTTGAAAAAACCCGATTCCCAGTAGGTATTTGAATGCTGATTCAACGTTGTTACAACGTCACCGTATAAAATTTTATTAACATGGAAGTTTGATAAGAAAAGAAATATTTATAGGTACATTGTGAACGTTGAAACAATGCTGATTTCTTAGCGTCAAAGTATAATTTTTGAAACACCGTTAGCTTGCAACATGATGAAGTTTATTTAGAAAAAAAATGTGTTTATGTTGATTTCTTAGAGTTTTAACGTCGTTGAATTCTCAACGTTGAATGAAGTTGTATTTAAGAAGTATTTAATGAAGGAATAATTTCCCAAGGATAGAAATAATCGGTTATTTGTTTATTATAAATTATAGGAACTTTTCGAACAACCCTCGTATTTTGAAATAAGTCTTTTCCGATTTCAATGCACATTTGCCACCGTTCTGCTCATGCGCAATTTACGTGACATAGACGGTCACGTGACCCCCTGTGTGGTTTCGTAGATAAAGAGGTAGTTCGCGAACTTTTTGATCATCCCTCATATCCAAGTATGAAACAAATGTGTCAGACTCTGTGGTATCTTTTATCTCAAGCTTTCTAGAATAGCATTCTGCAACAAAACCTTACTGTATACAGGGTTATTTTCGCCCTGTGTTATTTTCGCCCTTTTGCATTTGCGAACAGTTTTGCCCCGTTTTAAATTTTTCTCAATCATAGTTCTAAAAAAATATGCTGTGTAATTTCAATTCGCTCCGTCTTAAATTCGCCCGTTCAAGAAGAAAGCGAAAGGGGTGAAAATAAAACGGGGGCGAAAATTTCTCTGTATACAGTATTCATTTTCCACGTTAGTTACGTGAATTCCCTTTTTTGAACCTGTAAAATAATCCCCAACTATTGTGAAAGTTAAAATATTTAAAACTTTAAAACTTAATATATACCCTAGGTAGTAAAAGATGTAAAATTGAATCTGGAAGAAAATGCGTTTGTTTGCAAATGGGCTAATAAAAATTTAAAATAAGTATACAGAGAAAGTTTAAAGTTTATTTTCCTATATTTGATTTTCAAAAAACGTCCTTTGGATTCTTTGCAAATAGGAAGACTGCTCATTTTCGCATGAACTTCCATGATATGGATGTGTATCTCCATAGTTACATCTTCATACTTCATTGCTTTAAAAATGGCAGATGAACATTCTTTTTATGATCATCTACAACTTTAGCTTGGTCAAAAAAGGTGTTTTGAGGCAAAATTTGTTGGTAAACAGGATGAAAATCCATATTTCAAAATGTCAATTTCAATGAAAAAATCAGAATGCTAGTAATGAATATAGGAGTTTAATTTCAAATATTCAAACGCTTTATAACATCAAATTTAATTTAGGTTCCCGATTACTTTTTATATAATTTCAAATTAAATGCCATGAAAATAATCTATTTTCTAAATAATTCTAGAGTCGTAAAAATCGCGGGAAAAAGTTAAAATTGATTATGAGTTCATAATGAATCAAAAAGATAGTCTTCCGTCATCTCCTAGATATTGACCTAAAATTACGTATTAGTATATCACTATATATGAGATGGTATGAGCGATCGGAAAAAATAAAAGGTATCGAACTTCACGCATTTTTTACCATAAAATCGAATTCTTTGTTTTATCTTTAGCTTTCAACTTCGTTTCTAAACGATGTTTCAAACATTGTTTTGTTAAGTGATAAATATGGCTTACATCAAAAGGCAAGGAGACAAAAGGTAACTGTCAATAAAGTCTGTGTAATGCATCTTTAAAAAAAAATGATCCGTAGTGAAATTTCTAAAAAAAGAAAAAAACTGTAAAGGCATACAGATCCAATGCGTGTCCTTTAGGAATGAATTTAATAGCTACCCAATTGCAAGTTATACTCTATAAACTAAGTTTGAGTAGTTTACGCTATTTGCTCCAGCCCAGATTATACCACTATGAATTGGGTAGTTGTTAAATTCATTCCTCATTATTTAATTTTTCATTCTGATATATTAGAATTAATAAAAGTTATGTTTTGAAAATGACATATATTAAAAGTAATGTCAGGCGAATTGATACATTTTTTTTACATAATTGATTGCGACGTATGCAACACTGATTATTATGCAATAGATACTAATTCTTCATCCATGCAAATGACTCATACCAACCAAAATTAAATTATATTAAAATAGTGAAGATTTAAAGACAATGTGTAAAAACAAAAGTCCAGGTAGTGATGGTTTTACAAAAGAACTTTCTAAGTATTCTGGGGAAAATTGGGTCATTTTTGGAGACCACGTATTCCAGCAATCTATTGGAATTCCCATGGGTACAAATTGCGCTCTGTTATAAGCAGACTTATCCTTATATTCATTTGAAACAGGATATATGCAAAATCTTCTGCGTGAAAAGAAGAAAACACTTGCAGTGGCCTTCAACTCTACATTTAGATATATCGACGACGTATTGTCAATTCCCATTCCTACGTGGATACCATATATCCTGGTGAGCTTGAGATAAAAGATACAACAGAGTCCGACACTTCTGTTTCATACTTGGATATTTTACTTGAAAAAGACAATAATGGTAATCTTACAACCAAACTATATGATAAACGTGATGACTTTAACTTTTCTATCGTCAACTTCCCTTACTTATTCAGCAATATATCGTCATCACCTGCATACGGAGTATATATATCTCAGTTGATTCGATACGCAAGAGCATGAAGGAAATAACGAACATAAATCAATCTCAACGTCCAACGTACATTAAACAATATACAAAATAAGAGCAGAGCAAACACGGACCTCCAAAACATCAGACGTAGGATCAGGTGCCATGGAAGAGTGAGCATCCCCTGACGACCGGTCACACCCACTGTGTGCTCGTTGTCATGATCAGGAAATAACGAAAAATATCCGTTGTCAATTCAGTGTATAAATAAATAATGGACTAGCAATTGGTATGAAAAACGTTGGTCAGCATTTGACTCAATGATAAATTGTATTTGCTGACAAGGTCATTGTATCGACCATAGAATTTACGAAATGATGACTTTAAACGAGACTGTTGATATTCTTGTTTCATCAACTTGCTTGTCAATAATTTACCTCTTTTAAGAAATTGTTCATACGTAGAGCACGCTCTTGCGTATCGAATCAACTATGATATATATACTCCGTATGCAGGTGATGCAGGTATATTGCTGCATTAGTAAGGGAAGTTGACGATAGAAAAGTTAAAGTCATCACGTTTATCAAATAGCTTGGTTGTTAGATTACCATTAGTGTCTTTTTCAAGTAACATATCCAAGTATGAAGCAGAAGTGTCGGACTCTGTGGAATCTTTTATCTCAAGCTCACCAGGATATATTGTGTCGACATAGGAATGGAAATTTTCATTATTAATTGACAATACGTCGTCGATATATCTAAATGTCGACTTGAAGGCCACAGCAAGTGTTTTCTTCTTTTCACGCATAAGATTTTGCATAAATTCTGCTTCATATGAATAGAAAAATAAGTCTGCTAATAACGGAGCGCAATTTGTACCCATGGGATTTCCAATAGATTGTTGGAATACTTGGTCTCCAAATATCACATAAATATTGTCAATCAGAAACTCAAGCATCTTCTTGATGTCAACTTCAGAGTACTTATGTGTGCAATCAGAACCTGATTTAACAAAATAATTTTTCAAATGACCAATGACAAGGTAAGTAAATTTACGAGTTCCATTTTTGTTGAAGAAGCAGCTATCAATGACATCAAAGAGACTGGATTTTAATGTGTCGTGAGGAATTGTTGTGTATAAAGATGAAAAGTCTTAAGTTTTTAAGCTGTTGATTTAAAGTCTTGGGATTTCAAATTGTCCAAAAGTTCTTTAGAATTTTTAAGTATCCACATCTGATTTACACCACTTCTTGAATATATAGATGTACAGTACTCTTGAAGTTTTTCCTTCACTACTGTCAATATTTTAGTGAGAAGTAACGAAAGAGTATTGGTTGAACATTTACTGGAACCTGCAATGTACATGTATCTTTGTTTGTAAGGATTCTTATGAAGTTTCGGAATCCAATATATATAAGGAGTTCAAATTCATTTTGGCTCTGTGGAATATTAAAAGTATTCAAAACCGACAGGTGATTTTGAAGAATTTCTTCCTTAGAAAGAGAAGTATGAGTATAAGTAGGGTTACCACTTGTAGAATTAAATCCAAGTTCTTCTAGAATGGAATTTATATAATGAGCCTTACAAACGAAGACAATGCTGTTACCTGCTTTGTCAGCAGAACCAGTACGTACTGATCGTGTAATCTATCTAATTCTTTTTTCACTTCTGGTTTCTTGAACACAGAAGGATAGATTGTTTTCATTTTTCCCCTCAGTCTTTTAATACGTGAATTTAACATGGATCTGATACATTTAAATCATTCAGACAAGGTGTCAATGTCTTCTTTTTCATATCTGGCCCATCGTCTGGCGTAATTTTCAACAGAATCCATAATATTTATGAAATACCGACGCCAGTTGAAGGATCAGGGTTCCTTATATTTAGGACCTTTTAAAATTATTGATCTAAGGTCCTCACTAGTTACTAAATTTACGTCACCTGTAATAACGTGTCCAGCAGGGCTATAGTTATAGGGCGAAGAAGAACATGAACACGAAGGGGGATTATTTTTCTGATAGTCGATATCCAGGCCATGTAAAGTGTATTTGTAATTGAAAAGTTTTGAAGCAATGGTCGATGTATATTTGTAGGAAATACAAGGTGTAGTCTTTAACTTGAAATATGGTGGAATACAAGACTAGACCCTTTTGTGAGTAAGAATATTATTTATATTAACCGCGTCAATTCCTTTATTGGCATATTGAAGTTTAAGGAAAAGACGGATTGTTTTAGCTGCATTTTCTTCCGTGAAACGTGCGGATTTAAAAAGCCCATGATATGCAATATCCATAATCACCGATCCGAGCCTATATTCAGGTGACGAGGAATCTAAAATTGGATGTTCCTTGGCCTTTTCGAGAAGAATATTTAAAAGTTTCATAGGGACAGAGTAAAGTTTTGTTCGAATATGATGTAAACAGTTGATTTACATAAGGCAGTAATGAATCAAAAGAGACGTCGTGTATTGCAGGTTTATTCTACAAGCGATGTCCATGAATACGCTTACGTCTCTGAGAATTGTTAAAAAGTCCCATCACATTTACATTATTACACTGCGGGCACGAAAGATTTCCAACACTATCGACATTGTCATTAAATCCATAGAGAAAGGCTGTCCCTAGTTTCCTAATCCAAAAGCATGCTTTACGTACAAAAAAAATTCTAAAACGAGGTAAATTATTGACAAGCAAGTTGATGAAACAAGAATATCAGCAGTCTTTTTTAAAGTCATCATTTTGTAAGTACTATGGTCGATACAATGGCATTGTCAACAAATACAATTTATCATTGAGTCAAGTGCTGAACGACGTTTTTATACCAATTGTTAGTCCATTATTTATATACTGAATTGACGACAGGATTTTTTTCGTTATTTCCTGATCATGACAAGGAGCACACGGTGTGTGTGACCTTTCGGCAGGGGATGCTCACTCTTCCATGGCACCTGATCCTACGTCTGATGTTTCGGGGGTCCGTGTTTGCTGTGCTCTTATTTTGTATTGTTTAATGGACTTTTAGACTGAATACTGTTCGTTTTCTCCATATCCTTCTTTAGTATCCTCGTTGTAGAATGGCTATGAGAGAAGAGGATTTTCTTCCCCCCAAAAACGAGGAATAATTACCTTCTGGCAAAAAAAGAAGAAAAAAGTATAAAGAACAGGGCTCATTATTGGTCATGTATAACCTGAAATTATATCATGCTGCTTAGTGGTACAATATCATTAAGCGTTGCAATGCAATGCTGTAAAACATAAATCATCGTTATCATAAATAGTTGATATGCTCATCCACTTAACATTATTCTTTCATTCTTTGAGTTCAGAAGTTGTTGTATCGTAATGGAAAATGTATCAGACTCTCAGACTATCAGACTCTCGAGCAGAAGGCAATGGCTCGATCTGCTCTTCTCCATTTTATTTTTCTTACATTAACATTTTCTTACATTTTGTTTGATCGGAAAATAGATTAGGTTAATGCTTTTATATAAGGAACACGTGAAATAAATACAGGGTTGGGGTGACCGGTCGGCACACGATCCTACTGCTGATGTTTTAAAGGCCCGACTTTGCTCTGCTCCAAAAAGTGTATCGTTTAATGGATATTTGAGCTTGGATACTGTTCGTTTTCTCAATAGATTTCATTAGGTATACCATATCATTATCAGTAAATACTATGTGCTTTGTACGGTAAGCTTTATTACTTCTTACAACAAATATTTTGCGAACATTGAACCGCCATTAATACGAATAGATTCAATCCATCCAAAGGATAAAGGCCTTATGTAGATTCGGAGTCTCTCAAATCATGCCTTTAACTACCTTTATCTTTCTGATTTCAAACTTACCCACTTTCTAATACAGCACGCTAAACAATGCTATTTGTTATTCTAATGAACAGAATGCTGAGTTAATTCTCACTGGGTCAATCTTGTTCAGGGCATTGTGGGATAATGAGGCCCTCGTGGTAATATTTACATACTAATATACCCGTCAGAAAAAAGTAAGCTTTTCAATACCCAAATTACGTAGTATCCAAACATAAATGAGTTCATTTCTTAAATTTTCAATAATCTTCATTTCTTAACATTCACAGTAATATCTATTTGAATGGATTTAAGCTACGAAAATAACGGATTTTTGGACATTTACTGATTATACATGTATGCTTTAGATGTATATAAAAACGTATAAAAGGTCTAAATAAGAGATTCCTTATGGAAAAAAGAAAAGAAAATCACTAAAAACGTAACAAAAAAAGACCGGTGATTTGTGGTTGTCATATTTTTTTTTATCAAGAACGAATGTTAAATCTGTTATATATTTTGGTTGCGAAAAATGTATTTAAGTATTTGTAATAAAATGCATCTGTATACAAGCAGAATAATTGGGGAAATAAAAACGCATGAAAAATGAATGCATAAGAAGAATTTTATCGAGCCAGGACATGGTAGTTTTATCACCCCAGGTATGAGCAATCATGACACAACAACTTTATATTTATTGCCCAAGAACAGGAAATAATATTTCATAGTATACAACTCTAGGAATCTGTGACTTTCCTGTTTGATATTTATAACATATCACGAAGAACGTCTGTTAGCCACTTTTAATAGTTAAATATAACTCTTAAAGGTTGAAAGTTCACTTTCTATGTTTGTGTTATCGAGGGGCATGAATCTGAATGAAGCACCAGTGAAACAACGTAAAATCCCATTCAGAATATTAATCAAAACCAGGATCGAAATTCTGCATCATAGATTTAATTTTGGCTAAAGTGAGTAGATTTATTTAGTTAGCACGGCACATATATATTTTGTATTCTACCAAAAAAGTATACAGTAAACAAATTAAGTTTATATTTGGCTTTTGTAAATCATTAGATTAGTAACGGTGATCATAGACCTACAATAAAATCTATTCAGATCATGCATTAACGAAAGAGAAAATGATGTCAATAAAGCAAAATTTGTATTACTAATGTAGAATATCCGTATTCAGTTGTATCTACAGGATGAGAAGATCCTCAACAAATGCACGAAAGTGTTTGTCTTAGTACGGCAAATCTACAGTTTGATACAAGTCGTCAGAGACATAGCATACAAGTTTGAAAGATGCATTTCACACTGTGGGTGTTGGTTTTCAGTGGTTTTCTATTTGAATCTATGATAGAGGCCTGTACTCCGTGTTCATGTCCAATGTCCGCTTTGTGTTCTGGAAAATTTGCCAATTGCATCAGAAAATCATTAACCGAAGTGCCTTCTACTCTTCCCAACGACACATGTGATTTGTAAGTAATTGGGTATATAAAGCATCTCTTGTTTGGTGTAATTAATAAAAGAGGAATATGTTGTCTCATACCTTTAATTAAGATTTTAGACAACATAAGCCGTGTTAATGAAACATGGTCTTGCATGAAAAAAGAAAGATATAAAATAAACCACTGAAGTTTTCAAAAATTAATTTATCGATTTCAACATTTTATTTTCGTTCTTTGCAATCCTGACATTAATGATTTTGAATTAACAATAAAAGATATATTATACCGTTTACTTGTAGATCTATTGCATATCTTTCACACAATCCACCTTTATTTCAAATATTCACTATTATTTTAATAATTTAATTTTAGTTGTAACACGTCATTCAATTGGTTAAACGGTTTTATCCATTTTGTATAGCATAACTTGCCAACGTCACGATGAGTTACGTCAAAAACGTATTACTCCGCTTGACGTTAAGTTTGAAAATATGCGATATTTGAAGCCCTTTTGCGAAGGCAAAAATGGAAAAATTGTCTTATTGTCTACACTGAAATTAAATTATAAGAAATGAAGCTTATTTCAACTTATGTTATACGATATAACATAACTTGGGACAGTTTACCCTTTTCTATAAACCGCTTCGCGGTTTAAAAAGCGTAAACTGCTCAAGTTATGTTATATCGTATAACATAAGTTGAAATAAACTTCATTCCTTAAGGTGGAATATCCCTCTGATAAGAGAGATAACTCTTCTGATAAGAGAGATAACTTTCTGCAGACATTTTGTCATGAGATTCAGTGAATTGTCATGACAGAGCTTACAAATTTCATTCATAGAAACATTTTCAAGTCATCTCCATCAAGCCTGTTTTATCGTACAGATGTTTACCTCTAATTTCTATTGCTAGCCTTTTGCAATTATTTATTAATTATTTTTAAAAGTTTACCTTAAACATTTATACTCAGTTCCTTTAAACGGTGTAAATTAAGAAAATTCTATCACCTAACGTATAAGTCTTTTAATTGTACAGAAATTTCAGATGCAGAATTGTTTATAAACATTCAATTAATATTTTGTTTTATTAAAAATTATTTTCAAGGGCGATAATGGAACGATAACTCTTGTTTATGAATGTGTGTTATTTTACATGCAGAGAAAACAATTTGATATTCTGGTTTAAAAAGCAACGCTTCAGTATGTTTTCTAACGGGAATTAGATAGGTATAAGAGTAAATATTATTTTTATATATACCTCATACTTCTAATTTAATTGTGAGATGAAAAATAATTGATCTTCCTATTTTCCATATCAAATTTTCTTCAAATCATGATTTGACATATTATTGATTTCTGAAAGAATAAACAACGCTTCATACTTCAAACTATTTCCCATTTGAATTTAATGATATAGTTGTTGCTGAAAATCAATGTTTGGAATTTTAAAAAAAATCGTGAAATTTGGAACAGAGGGATATTGCCCCTTAAATAATTTCTTATAGCCACTCAGAATTTTCTTTTGACACTTTGAAAAATGAATTTTGAAAGAATGATTGTAGGATTCTTATTAGAAAGTGAAAATAACTTAAGTCCAATTCCGTTCTGACTAAACAAGGCTCAGAAAGGCATGACTATCCAGATCGCATTTAAAAAACTTTTAACCTATGAATATTTGTAAGGATACGTATAGATGTAGAACTCTAAAAGAATTAATTAAAAGAAACTTTCTACAATAACAAGTCAAGGTGTATAGAAAGATAAAATGCAACTATCAAACATTTTTTTTTGGCTTATATATCTATTGCTTTGTAGAAATTAAGTTTCTTTTCCAAATCCAGTTCAGAATTCTTTTAGATTTTATAATTACAAAACTAGACTGACTGATCCCTTCCCCCTTTTCTAAGAAAGTTTTGGAGAATGGTTCACATGTTCCTATTCCCGTTAAATAGTTCCCGTTCAGTTAAGGTGTTTATATGTTTTTTTTTTTTGTGTATTTTTCATCACCTTTTTAGAAATATGAGAAGATTATGTAAGGCAATTCCACCCTCCTTTGATGTCATTGGTTTTTGCAAAAAAAAATTTGAATTAAATGCATATCCAGAAGAACAATATATTTTTGAAGAATGATTTTCCATAGGTGAAATGATAAATACTGTTAAGTAGAAGGATTAAAAAATTCTTATTTTATTCAGTTGTTCGATTTTAAAAACATGTTGAAAATTGCGATAACTCCTACTCAAGTAGCATCATTCAGGCATTTTCTTTTTTGTACTTCTAATGTAAAAAAGTTTTTCTGATTTTCACAAATAAAAGGTCTTATAAGTTGCAAGTATTTTGGAATTTTCAGCATCAGAATTATGCATTCAAGGATAACGTTTGCTCAGTTTTCAGAAATCAGAAAGAAAATGTTATAAAAAATTGTTCTAAATGGATAAAATAACTAACTTTTATCTCAATATCAATTTAAAAATTTGATATTTATTATTTGAAGAAAATATACAGGAACAAACGTCAATGTATGGTACTGCAGAGGAAATTCGGACTAAATTTTTAATTTTTCATTTTTCGTCAAAATTTTTATTTCTTGCAATATTAATCACAAAGTAAAGGTCACATATATTTCAAAAGATCCTTTTGCAATTATTATATGCGTTAAAGCTCATAAATTATTTCAATTAATTGAATGCAATGAAATAAAGAAATTCAAAAATATGTACAAAAACCATTTCAGACAACATATATTAATTATTTGATTATTGACCCAATATAATATCAATACCAAGAGAATAGGGGTAACGAAAGTAACCTGGGGCTATAAATGAAATAGAATTCTTATCAGTCAGATTTTTGTAATATTCGATTAAAAATGGGGAAAAATATAAATATGACAGAGGAAATTCGGACTGTCATAATTACCACGTTTATGGCCCAAACTCTAATAATTTCTTTATATGAAGCAACGCTGTTCCATTGCTTTCATATTTCATTATTTAAAGAGTTTTGTTGCTTGTAATATTTTGTGAGTGAAGAAAAAAAGGCCATATAGTGCGAAAAATTGAGGTGTTTCCCGAGAAATACACATTGGCCACTTGCATGAAAACGAGGTTAATGACCTAGTTATTTGAAACTGAAATTTAACATAATGTGCAAAAGGTGGTCTTTCGTTCTTATCAGTGGAATTTTTAGTCATCTGAGTAAAAGTATACTTTAAAAAAGTTTTTCCATAGTAGTTATATATGATACTGTTCACAAAAAAGTGCATTTTTTTATGTTGACATATGCTTCTGTTTATTTACGTCTCCAATCAGAAAACATGTGGCGACCACTCCTTTTTTGGTAATATTTGGTAAATTTAAACTTAATTCAATGAAAATGTATTAAATTTTTGTACTTTATACAATTCAAATTGTGACGGAAGGACCTTAGGCAGTTTTCGGCACTTCAAAAAACAAAAACAATTGCTCTTGACATTACCTCTTTATTGTTTTTTTAGATCTCTATACAACAACCAGATTACTATAATAAGGAACAACGCATTTAATGGTCTGGCGAACATAAAGACTATGTAAGTTTTATTTCTCTGAATGGCTAGCCCAGTGTATTCCTTGTTAATTTTATGTATTAATGTATGGCATTGTGACGTTAGTAGAAGTTATCAATCTGATAATTTTCTCTTATCTGTTTTTTTTCTGAAAGAATGAAGGAACAATTATTTAACATGAGTTCTTGTGAGTTTTTCTTAGTGTTATTAAATATTTGCCTGAACAGAAATAAGGAACATTATGACGTAAATAATAAAGACATGGAGATAACGAACAGTATTCAATCTCAAAGTACAAAAACAATATAAAACAATACAAAAAAGGGCAGAGAAAACACGGATTTCGAAACATCAGAGGTGGGATCAGGTGCCATGGAGGAGTGAGCATCCCCGCCGACAGGTCACATCCGCTGCGTGCTCCTTGTCATAATCAGGAAACAAGGGAAGAAATCCGTCGTCAATTCAGTGTATAAATAATGGAGTAACAATTGGTATGAAAAACGCCAGTCAGCATGTGACTAAGTGATAAATTGTATTTGCTGACAAGGTCATTGTATTGACCATAGAACTTACGATATGATGACTTTAAACGAGAGTGCTGATATTCTTGTTTCATCAACATGTAACTCACTTCAATCATATGAAAATGTGTATATGAGTATTATCATTGAACAATTAAGGATTTAGAAATTAATTAGGTTAATGGAATATGTAGTACAGATGACCGAATAAATTAGTGAAGGTTAAACGTGTTAATATTAGCATTATTGAATACGGAGCGTTTTTCAGCATATTTCAGCATTTTAAATAATTCCAAATGTACCGTTGGTTACCAATTACTTAGAGATATATTCTAAACAATTTCTTTATAGTATAAGTGACATCAATGTGTCATGTTTTTGTGAGAATGGTTTTTTTGCTTCTTCTAGTTTTTATTAAGCCACAGTCAAGATTTAAAGTGACTAAAAATTTCGATTTTTCAAACTTTTCCGGCTGTTGTCATAGCAACCAAGAAAAATAGCAACGAAATTTTGTTTGATATTTGTTTCTGGTGTAAAGTTCTAATCATTGGTGAAGTTTCATCAAAATCGGTGTCCATGGCAACGAAGTTAAAGTGGTTACAGATAATGGCTATTAATATTTGATAAACCTGCGTTGACATTGTGAGGCAAGTAAGTATTATTAACAAATACTAACGCCTTACATTTGAGATCCACTCTTTATATTTTTCAGAGATCTAGAGAGTAACAATATAAGTACAATAGAGGCCAACGCGTTCAACGGTTTGACAAAGTTAGAGAGGTTGTAAGTTTGTTATTTAAAAATAATTTAACTTCATTTGTAACACATCATTAGATTGGTTTGTATACCATAACTTGCCTACGTCACATTGAGTTACGTCAAACATGTATTGCTCCGCTTGACGTTAACGTTTAAAATATGCTATATTTAAAGACTTTTCCCGAAGAAAAGAATGGAAAGATTGAATCATTGTCTACATTGAAATTAAATCATAAGAAAAGAAGCTTATTTCAACTTATGTTACACGATAGAACATAACTTGGGGCAGTTTACGCTTTATAAACCGCGATGCTGAAATAACATTCGTTCCTTAAATATTTTTAAAGATTTCAATCCCTCGAAATATAACATTTTGTGCATTGATTCATTCAATGATTTGACAAAATTAAAGAGAGACTGTAAAATCGTTGTTTAACATATTTTTGAGATATTTATATTCCAAACTATAATATTCTGTGCACTGATTTTTAAATGACTCTTAGTAGTTTATAAAGCGTTGACTGCCTCAATCCAATACATAATAATAAGTAATTTGAATGAATTAGCTCTTTGGAGTTGGTAGAAATTAGCTACGTGATAATTTACTAATATCTTTTTTTTCTGAAAGAATGAATGAACAGTTATTTTGCATTAAAAATGCTCTTGTGATTTACACATACTTTTCACTGTTTGTAGAGTTCTGGCAGACAACACATTGATTTCAATAAAGGATAACACGTTCAATGGTTTGACGAACTTGCAGAGTTTGTAAGTTTTATTACTAACAGTTCTTTACCAGATTTATTTTTGAGTATCAGTCCAACAATGTACAATATACTGTAAAAAAAAAATTACATTGAACAATTAAGGTTTCAAAAGAATAATTAGGTTAATGTTGGATACGTATGGCGGATTACCGACTAAATTAGTTGGGATTGTTCTTGTTAATATTTAATTAACCTGTGTTGGCAATGCGAGGATATTGAGGATTTTGCACGTAATTATTTATTTTGATTATTATAATTTTGTTTATAAAGTAATTTTTTTTATGAAATCCTAAGATGATAAATACTTGTACTAAACATCCACTCCTTACAATTTCTCTTAGGATTCTATACGACAGCAATGTAACCATAATTAAAGATACTAGTAATGCACTTAGTAATTGACAAAATTAGAAATGTTGTATTTTCGTCATATAAATTTTTTTCTGGAATATAATTCTTCAAAACTATATTATCCCGTGTATTAATTCATTCAATGATTTGCCAAAATGTGAAAACAACATGTGTGTTCATTGTTTATAACATTTTTGAAATAACAAACGTCCAAACAATGACATTCTATGCATTTATTTTTCAATGACTTTCGGCAATCTATAAAAAGTCCACCAACCCAGTGTATACCTTGTAAATGTCATGTATATGCATCGTGAAACTAAGAAATAATCCACGTGATAATTCACTCTTGTCTGGGTTTTTTTTCTAATAAAATGAAGGAACATTTAGTTTGCATAAAAAAGCTTGCTCTTGACATACAGTGTTTTTTTTTTTAGAGATATGCGCGAGAACAAGATAACAACCATCAAGGAAAACACATTCACTGGGTTATCGAACGTAGAGAAATTGTAAGTTTCAGCAGAGTGGATTACGGGCGGACCAATCCCCTAAAGTATAATACACTGTATACATGTATATACCGTATAAGTACAATTTCTAGCGAGGATTTTATATTGGCATTATTAGCGAGGATGCACTGATAGCTAAAAATAAATATCGCTAAAAATTAATTGCCTTTTATTTGTAATAGCTTATTAAGTGTGCAGTTTAAAATCGCTAAAATAACCTCTCTAAAAATAAATTACCAGTTTTTAAGGGCAAATCGCTAAATTTGCGTCTCGCAAAAAATTCCGCTTATACGGTATATATATATATATATATATATATATATATATATATATATATATATATATATATATATATATATATATATATATATATATATATATATATATATATATATATATATATATATATATATATATATATATATATATATAAATTAGAGCAGATCAAACACGAACCCCGAAACATCAGAGGTGGGATCAGGTGCCATGGAGGAGTGAGTATCCCCTGTCGACCGGTCACACCTGCCTTTTTCTCCCTGTCATGATCAGGAAATAACGGGAAAAAATCCGTTGTCAATTCAGTGTATGAATAATGGACTAACAATTGGTATGAAAAATTCAAGAAATGAGTGTAATATTTTTTACTTAGATATTATTTCTTTGAATATGTATAGTCTAACACACAGTCAAGAAAATATATGCATAACAGCTTTATTTGTGTAAATATGCTAGTATGTCTATGGGAAAATTCTGAAAATATTCTCTAACATAAACATACTTCATTTAAAGATTAAATTTTCACCACATAAAAAGTAATTATATAAGTTTTGTTTTTTGTAGCCAATATACATAAGCTTATAGTCAAAAAATGGAAAGACGATAGGCTGGAATCAGCAAAAAAAAAAATCAGAAAAAAGGGATCATGCTCCAACTGGGCGTATTCACTATTTCTGGGATTTATGAGTGGATCTATAAAATAATTAGGTATCAAAAATATACTCATACTACCTCTTCAAAAATGATGATGAGGACAGTAGCCTCCCCCTCTTGCAACTAGGTGTAGGAACTAACCGCTGATGTTTCTCCACTTCATTTTACAAAATATGTCGAAACCTCGTTCAGCCTTTAATTGTACAGAATTAAAAGATAAAATTGTGGTAAAAGAGCATTCACTTATTCCTGAGTAAAGAGATGATTTATCAGAATTCCCCCCATGCTATGTTAATACAATAATATTGTTTCCCTCTTCTTTCTGTGGTTGCTCAAATAAATTGTAACGTTCTTACAAAGTACAAATAATAAGTGATTGAGTTCGCTTAGGTTTCCTTCCTAAGAATCACATTTATAATACAAAATCTAAGCAAACTTCAATAGCAATGATACTTGAAGAAGAAACCGACTGAAATTCACTTTATATATTTTTCCTCAGTCCTACCTGGATAATGATTTGTAAACTAACTAATAACTAATAACTAACTAATAACTAATAACTAATAACTAATAACTAACTATAACAACAGAATCCTTAACAATCTACCAAATAATCAAATATTAAATTAACCTATCTCCGTAGCTGCAGACTGAATGGTATTACCAACAATTCTGTTATTTCCCGACACAGTCTGCTATATCTAAAACACTCCCTATAAAAATCACAATGTCAGATATACATTTAAAGACACACAAACACAAACTAAAGTCACCAAGACACCATTGCTATGAACAGGACACTGTACGTTTGGTTAGACATAAGCTTAAGTCACACAGACACCATAGCTAGTCACAGAGACACTAGGGGACTGGGTCCCTGGGCTGAGTGGTATAACTAACAATTCTGTTGTTTCCCTACACAGTCCAGGTACCCTTCCCAAGTCACCTAACTCCGACAAAGACTTACATCAAAAGTAATCGAAGCAAGATTGATCCCCGTATTAATACTATTTTGCATCTGTTAATTAATGCTTATTGGCGAATAATTCTAATCATTTGGTTGCCTGAATATCAACTCTGATTGGCTACATATAAAATGATTTGATTGGATGATTCAAAACCTATTTCACTCCACTTATTATTATCACAAAATTATTAATACAGCTACACACTAATCTCACCAGCGACACATGTTGAATGTAAGTAATTAGATATTATTATATCTCAAAATTGATGTCTCATTAGCTGCCTACGGAGTGTATATATTTCAGTTAATTCGATGCGCAAGAACATGCTCTATGCATGAACAATTTCTAAAACGAGGTAAATTATTGACAAACAAGTTGATGAAGCAAGAATATCATCGGTCTAGTTTAAAGTCATAATTTTGTAAATTCTATATATGGTAGATGCAATGAAATTTTCAGCAAATACAATTTATCATTGAGTCAATTCTGACTGAGGCTTTTCATACAAATTGTTAGTCCATTATTTATATACAGAATTGACGACGGATTTTCTCCGTTATGACAAGGAGCACACGGCGGGTTTGCTATGCTCCTAATTTGTATTGTTTTATGGACATTGATATTTAATACTGTTCGTTATCTCCATATCCTTCATCTCATACCTGTAAATAAAATTTTGATTAAGGCAACTTGATGAAACATGGTATTGTACGTAAAAGGAAAGAAAAGTAATGAACATCTTACATTTTTTTTATATACAATATATGTTGAAAGACAAAATGGATTTCAAAAAGAACTGTTATCTCATTTTTTAAATGACCTTGACCTGTAACCTTGATAAAATTCAATTTATTCTACAGTTACATTAAATACGTTTGGACGAATTTCCGCGGATAGTTTGTGTCCGCGTACATAGCTTGAATTTAGACCTCGCTGAAAAAAGTACTTCTACAGTAATTTAAAAATTCATTTATCAACATTTTGTTTTAGTTCTTTGCAAACCTGACTTCAAGAATTTTGAAATTTCAATAAATAATTAATCAAACGTTTGCCTGTAGATCCATTTCTTTTCTTTACCTTTCACATTTATCTATCACATCGTTAGATTAGATTTATTTTCATTGTTAATTAATTTCTCATTGCAAATATTAATTGCTCAACCAAAATGAATAGCAGAGAGAGAGAGAGAGAGATAGAGAGATTGTCCAGACGTTTGTTCATTATAGGCTAAGCATACATTAATTTAAACAATAAAATGGTTCTAAGTACGGGAATGAATGTCGCAGCTTTGTCAGGCAAAAATGCGGGTTATGTATTTTTTTCTGCAATAGCTGCAACATTCATCCCGTGCTATATGTAACAACCTAAGAAAGACTTTTTATTGTTTATATTTATATCTGTTTAATAATCATTTAAAATAGGATTAAAAAGATTAATTATTGTATTTAATGATGCGAACGTCTTTGTACTTTTCATTGATAGAACAGCCACTGATCATTAAAT